GCGAAATTAAAGCGTTTTACATTATTTGCATGTAGGTGAATTGCATCTTTGTTTACTCAAAAATTAAAATGTGGATTGCCATGACGACTGCCATTCCGAAAAATAAAAAACAATGTGTTTATAAATCTTCTTTTTTTTCTCCAATTTGCAGAAACTCGAAGATACTGTCTTAAAGAAAGAAGAAGGAGAAGATAACTTGAACGTACGAGGTGAAGGCGATAGTCCCACTCCGGTACCAGTTAGGGTACGAGAGATTATAACACAGAATCTCTCAACTGAAGATCTCAGTTTTCCAGACATGTCGTCACCAAATGTGTCCCACTTGTCGGAGGAGAATCGTATGCTACAGAATGAGCTGAGTCGGGTAGAAGATCTGCTCTCGCAAAGCCGAGCTGAAAGAGACGAGATGGCAATCAAGTATAACGCGTTGTCTGACAGAGTAAGTAAATTTTGAGATACTGTATTTGTGTATTTATGTGTAGGGTGTTTGCTAACGAAAGGAAAATTCAATGTCGTGCATTCCTGTCTTGAACACCGAGGGCACTTTAACAGCTGCTCTTGTTATCAAGCTGTAAAACGTTGTAGTTTCGATAAATGACAAATTTTCATGCGTCGATGAGAGCTGCACAATTTTGTAGCGATATTCATATCATTGAGATTCTTAGATCAGCGAGTCTCGATAACTTATCATTCTCATTGATGCACTTAAATTTTTGAATCTTGAAAAATTGACAAAAACATTAAGCTTCAAATAAATACTCTAGCATTGAGCATTTCATGAGAAAGCTAGGGGGTCCTTTTACTTGGTACTGTAATTAGTATGCATAGAATCATGCAATACTTCAGTTTGGGATTGGTTTAATTGTTGACTATTCTATTACAAAAGAGTACATAACTTTAGAAGTACACCTATCTTTCTTTGCACAGTTCTCTGCTAGAGTTACTTTTGATCATCGCCGCAAAATACTCCAATACCTTGTTTATATCTTTGTGAATTTGGTAAAAATTGATACTTCATTGTGGAATAAACACTGACTAGGAAATAATAATACGATTTTGGATTCAGTGACGTTGGATAAGCAGTGTGCGACCACTTGAGGTTTCCCTTCCAACAGTTGAGTGTTTCAGTTGAGTGTCATTTGTCTGCTTTGGTGTGATAGATGGTGTATGGCTTTCTGTGCAGGGGGTTCATTTGCTGAGGAGGTTATAACCCCTTGTTCCCTACACTAAGACTGGAAACGAAGTATCGAGTGAAATAAAAGGATAATAATTATTTGTAACTCTCAAGATGACTCAAGAACGTAGCCTGCCTACTTGATTCGTTAAAAGTTTCCTGAGAAAAACAGATATAACAATGCAGGCGACTCCAGCAACATCTTACTTGCATGTTTTGTGCAATTTCATAACACCTTGACACTTGGTCGCATGTTGTGAGTGTACCTACCTACCCACCCTTTTTTCTCGCTGATCATTTCTTCCCTTCATTGTGTCTCGTTTTAAGATGAAGATGCTCTTCTATCAAATGTCCTATCCCCTTTTTAGTGCAGTTCCAAAGGTTGATATTGCTGTTCTAACTTCTTTCAATCAATATCCCTCCTTCTATTGCAGTGCGTCACAAAGTTTTGTGTGAGGTAAAACTCAATCTTGAAAAAATGTTACCATTTTTATTATTGTCTGTCTTCAATTGAGGGAAGAGTTATTTACTACTGTGGAATACTGTATTTTCGCTGGAATTAATTTTCGCTGAATTTTCATCTCTTCAGCGAAAATAGCGAAAATAAATTCCAAGCGAAAATAAAGTATTCTACAGTATTATATAATTATTCTGTTTCCCAGATTACCCACAATGCATCACTATATTTTCCAGTTTCCATTTCTACATTTTGCAATACAAGATTCTGTTCAGGACAGCAAAACATAACAACAACTGTTGATATTTCAGCAAAATGGCCATGCAGGGGTATAGGAATTTGAATTGTATTGAGATGATATGTATCCAAGTTGACAGAATCATGTATATGTGTCTGAGTGTATGTCTGCATCTGTCTGTCCGTGTGTGTGTGTATGTATTTGCTATGTTATCTGTCTCTTCTGTCTGACATTGTGTATGTCATTTCTATAAAGCTTCTTCAGTATTACCTTCATAGGACTTTCTACAATATTCGTCTATCGCTTCACGTTGGAAGTACAGTAAGTCAGTTTGGTTTCAAGTATATTTCATGTAATTCTTTTTTCTTTTCTTTAAAATTTGGGTAAATTTTCAACCAGAAATTTTAATTCCTTTTTGAAATTAAACAAAAGTGTGTATAGTTGCTATTCTTTAAACTTCCTGGTTTATGTAATGTTGCAACAACTAGCATTTAAAAATGCTTTTTCAACTCTTCTATTGAGGGATATCGATAAAACATAATTCTCTATTACTGCGTTGATTTGTTACGCTTATGTATCCATGGTGATGACATAACATTACATGTAAATTTATAGGGTCCAGTATGTTGACAGGTATCAAGTTATAACACTTGTACTTCGAAACACACTAGCAAATGCTATACGAACTGAGGCATTTTATTGAGTAGTTATTGTTATGATACTTGATGTCGTTTCAACCAGCAGATCTGGTTTTCAAGTCATGGACTGAAGATTGTCAAAAATTTACAATACAATGTTAGACACATTCACAATAGGGGCATTTAAGTGAGTGTAATTGGTTTATCTGTAAATAGAAGCAGACTAGTGGTTTTCAAGTGATCTGTCTGCAATTCTCCATATAAGACAAACAAAATTGTAGTGTTTCCAACATATCCTCATTCCTACCAGTATCAAAGTAGGTTGGCAGTTGCAGAAAGTTTGAAGATTTGCCTCTAAACTTCAAACAGTGTACCTTTTTTTTATTCAAACAGATGTGCTGTACAAAATGTTACCATGTTGATAAGAAGTCAATTCGGTGAACAATAATTCTGCTGGTATTTATCCCTCCAAGTGACTGAAAAAATTTAATGATTATTTAACAAACATATTTTTTCAATAAAACTTGGCTTTCAAAGAAACTATAGTATTTTGATCTTAGAAAAAGTGATATTAGATACAAGTATTTTTGAAATACTGTAATTTTCTTGCAAACACTATTGTGGAATACTGATTGCAAGGGTTTGGATATTTATCCAGTCATGGTTGCCATGGACCTTTAGACTTCAATCGTTGCCATGGTTTCAAAAGTTGTCGGCGATTGTTATGCTTCCAACCAAAACCGAAACTTTTCAAAACCTTGGAAATTTGTCCTTTCAAATAATATTAAAAAAAAAAATTGAAAATATAATTGTCCAGGTATTTTGTAAAAAAAAAAAATTAGTGAAAAAAGCTTTGAGAGTGACAACCAAAAGCAATATACATCACACAATAATTTGACCTTTAGGTCATTGTGTTAGGCTGAGGATGTCTATTATAATTCTTAGTTCTGAAAAGAACCAGCAATTTTCAATAGAACTACTATAAAACTCTTTTTCTAGAAACATTTGTAATAGGAAGGAGGTGTGTACCGTGTATGGCATGTACAAATATGCGCACACTTGCCCTCGCTTCTGATACAAAGGAATACATGACCTGTCTGAAAAGGTCATTCTCTGTTCGGCAGTAGTAAGCTTTTTAAATTTGATCTCAAATAAGTATAATTATGCATCGTGGCAACTGGAACTTTCTCTAATTTTTACTGACTTTTGAAAGGAGTAATTTTATTCTTTTTTTTGATAGCCAAACAATTGAGAACAACTATTGTTGAAGGCCCTACCCATCTTGTTTTTATATAACGTAGTAATTACTAATTCCATTGGTTGTGCTGACAACTCTTGTTTGTGTTCTACAATAGTTTTTGTCCTGTCCTTGTTATCACATCGCTCTTACTGTGTAAGGTCGTAAGTATGAGTTTGACAGCTGTTATGTAATCACGTCAGTACAGTGAATTTCCAATCTGAAAAAAACATAAATAACTTTTAAAGGTTCTGTTTGAGGTCATACACTGACTGTTATCTTTGATTTCCTTATATGGAATTGCCTGCCTGCTACTCTTGAGTGTCTTGAGTCGTTTGTAACCTGGCACATCATTGGTGGATACATTGGCACATTTGATTGGACAGTTTTGAGGGTGAGAGTTCATAATGACCCTGGATATTTAAAGTGTTTTTGGTTAGTCATCAATGGAATACTTAACTTTTGAGTCACGCACATTCCCCAGCATCTTTCTCTTTTTAAATGGAGGGAGTTTTCCCAATGAAAATAGATGAGTCATTGGTCGTAGTTGGTTGCTTTTTTCCTTGAATGGATATTTTTTGAAAAATTGTAATCAGAATTAAACTAAAGATCCAATAATTGTCAACAAAATAGAAAATTATAAATGATTCTTGATGAAGAAAATGAAAAAAATAATTGTCTGGTTTTTAAATATTTTTTGAAAAGTTTCTTTCTTTTTACTGTCATCTGCAAAAAAAGTTGTACATTTTTAAAACTGAATATTGATAAAAAAAAATAAAAAAAAAAATTTAAATCATTGAGATATTTTCCCATAATGCATTGCACATATACCGTACTCAGTGGATCAAAACTTTATGTCCTGCAAAAGCTGCAAATTGTTTTTCTTCTCCCGGTTTTGGTTTCTTGAAAGGAAGACATTGTCACATTCCTCTCATCTTTAGTGGATCATTTAAACTGTGGCTAAATAATTCTTCTGTGCTGCCACCAGTATGTGCCGTTGCCGTGGTTAACCAAACACAAAGTACGACTTGTGAATGACAACTCATGTGACTGTGAAATCTTTGAACGCTGGTTTTGATTATGAACTTTTAACGTCCTTTTCAAAGGTTGTCATTTTAATTAAAGACTTGCATACTTTGTCATTGTCCATCACAGCATGTAGATGAAGTGTCTGATAACGAAATAATTCTCCCCGACGATTCCTCTAGCAACGTAAAGTTAGCTACGATGACTATTTCGACCTGTTGTTGACCTCTGAATCGTATTTTGGTTAAAACTCCTGAATTTATTTCGGCAAGCAGTGTTGATGTTATTTTATCTTTGACAAAATTCTGAAATGCGACATTTAATTGAGCCTTTTAGAGCGAGCTGAATGTGAAACTGCATTAGATGTTGTTAAATCTGACAAACACATAATATTTTACTTTAAGTGCAGTTTATTGAGACAGCATAGAACCGGATTTGCGAAGGGGAAATTTAATTTGTTACCGCACTTTTAATTATTTCCGACATACATTTACTGTTAAGGTATTGAAACCGTTGATCAACAAAATATTTCTATGTCAGAAATTTAAACAGGACAGGCTTTCATTATTTTAACGTTGCAATTATGTGAGATGTGTTTGTCACCATGGCAACCAAGATTCAGCACTATGGTATCTCTAATAATGTTAAATTTTCAATATTGCAAGCTGG